GCTTCAGAATGGAATGTTGAGGAAGACTGTGGAACTCCTCTTCCACAATCTTCCCTATGAACCCAAAAGTGCTTAACTTTGAGCACTTCTGGTTTTACAGATGGTAAGTGCCAACTGACAAGGACCAGGTAAGTGTTTGTGATGGAATCTCTTATGGATATTTAGCTATGCAATGTTGAGATTTCTCATTTCTAATGGGGAAATCCTGCTTGGCAGCACGAGGCAGAGATATGTGGTCTGTTGAATCTATTACTGTACAATCCTCTTCCCACTTCTGACCCTGGCTCTTCCTCCTAGAACACATAAGACCCCTCAAGTATCCTTTTAGCCTATGAAATGAGAATGGTACTGTATAAAAAATCATAGACTCCTCTACCTTAAAACATGAAAAAAGGCATTACAGCAAAACTACAACAAAAAATACATACAATATGGCACATAACAGACACATAAATTCTTCCAAGAATTTTTGATGCATCAAGCAGCAGGGATGGTGAGCTCTTACAGACACTAACAGCTATGACAGATACAGACAGGAGAGCAATGCAGGTGAGAATAGAGATAGTTCTGGCATCAAGGATGCTCAACAACAAAAAAAGTTACAAAAAGTTACAGGGAGAGGATAATCCCAGGGGAGTAGTAACTTGGGGAGGCTAATGGCAGAGTTAAAAACAAAAACAAAAAGTAATATCTGTATGTAGGGCTTCCCTATAAGGAGTCACTGAGTTTTTGGGTCCCCCTATTCCAGCACAGCCAGGCAACATGCATTTTCTAAGTTTGTTGCAGAGACAATGACCAGACCTTGGGCTTGTTTTTGTTGTTTTATTAGGGGTAAACAGCCTGTATAGGGATTGGGGATTATGGGATGCCCAACTTGACTTGATAAAACAACCTGAGGACAAAATTTCTTACACCATGAACAAGAACAATGGATCCTGGACGTTACTCCAGCCAGAGTGGTATTAGTTCCTTTAAGGAGCCATGTTACTCTAAGGAGCACTAAGTCTCTTTGAATGAACTCTCGAAGCCCAAGTTAACAATACTATTAGCCCACCTGGCTGCCTTGGAGAGTGTTCCAGAGCAAAAGATTTAGGTAGCTGTGACAGTGTCCTAATGAGTGCTTGCTGGATGTTGCATCTGGCAGCCCTCTCCCCTGTAGGCCCTGGGGGTGTAGAGGTACTCACATTGTCCCTTGTATCCTGCTGCTTTGGATGAGACTGCTGCCAGACCTTTCTCTGTGCTAGTCTTTCCCAGGCTAGGCAGGCTGTCTTCACCTTTAGGCTGCAAGGTAGTGGAGATTCCTCTTTCCAGTTTCCTTTCCTTCCCTCTTCTTCCTCAGCTCTAGCCTGAAGGCAGAGCCCCCCTTCCCCTCCCAGGCCTTGCAATCCTCAGTTTCTCCATCTTCCACTTGATCACCGACCAGACTACTCACTGCCCTAACTTTCAATATTTTTGGGCTAACCCAGAACCTTGCTAGGCCTCCTGCCTGGGGATTGGCCAGATTCCCCGAAACATGCAGATCACAGCCTCATGGCCACTAACTTCTAAAATCTTCTGGAAGACTCCAGAACAAGGGGGAGGTACCAGAGGCCTACAGATCTCCAGTGTGGCCTAAAGTAAACCCAAAGCAATTCCGCAGACTCACCACACTACTGTGAGACATTAAATTTTCCTCACTCTAACATGCAGTGTGCAACTAGAGGGTGCTACATGTACACTGGTCTGCTGAAAATTTAAAGGGCTAGTTGGGGAGTTGTCTTGTGGATGGGGGAGGGGGGGGAAAGGAGGGAGCTGATCTACAGTTGTGTGACATGAGCATGCTCCAGCAAAAAAACCAAGAAAATAAAGCAAGTATACATTTTGATTTTCAGCTTCAAAGCTTTAAATGAAAAATTGATATTTATTGTCAGGGTTTCTTTTGTTAGTATGTGTTCCTACGTGTGCTAATGATTTCAACAATCTGCCAATTTGCATGGTATCATATTTCTTTACTTTTAAGATTCATGAGCATGCATATATTTATGGGTTTCCTTCCAATACCTTAGCAGCTTTGTGATTCTCATGCTACTGTTCCTATGGAAAGAGATAACACGTTGTAAACCTAAAATGCAATTTGTAAACATACAGGTTAGTAATTCCTTCCCAAATTAAACTATAGGTCATAATTTAAAAAGTGCTTCCAAATGCCTTTATTCCATCTTTTAGTCCTAGGTCATGTCATCACATTGTTCTGTCTCAGATCTGAATGGCCCAGGCAGTGGACAAACCCAGTATGTCCTGCAATAAATTGCAATGACTCAAGGAACCGCTGTCAATCAAACATTCTTACTTGCCAATGCAGGGTGCATTTGAGCCATTTCTGCATTGCGTTTTTGCTAGCTTTGCGGTTTTTTTTTTCATTTTTAAAATTTTTCTTGTTAGGCAGATTTAAAATGCAAAACACATCGAAAATGCAGCAAAAACGCATCAAAAATGCAAAAATAAAATGCTTTTCTGCAGCATTTCTGTTGAAGTCTATAGAACCAAAAAACCAATTTTTTGAGAAGTTGGGTTTTTTCCCCCCAAAAAATACACCAAGTAAAAACGCAGAAAATGTGAAAAATATCACATAGGAAATCAAAATGGCCTAAACATGTGTGAAAAATGTAGCGCTACTTTAAGATAAACATGTGAACCGAAATACCTAGTGGATAAATATCAAATAAATAAAATAAGTGTCCACTAAAGTGAAATCATGCACATAAAACATATATGTGATTAATCTAAATTACTAAAGTGAACAAATCATATCAACTAAAAAGTAATACGTGCTTTTTGCAAATTAATATATATATATATATATATATATATATATATTTATATATATATACACATTACATTAACAATGTGCATTATCACATATATATATATAATATATATATACCACATAGAGTTAAATTAGTGTTAAATGGCCTGTAGTGCGTTTCTGCAAAACGCTGCAGAAAACGGTTAGGCGTGGACAGGGGCGAACTGACAACTCATGGGGCCCCCGGGCAATAGGGGATCATGGGGCCCCTGTGTCTTTGCCCACACTCAAAGCACACCCAAAAAAGCCTATAAAAAGGTAACAGGGTCATTTCATGGGGCCCCCTACTGACCCCGGGCCCTCGGGCAGTGCCCCCCGAGTGCTCGAATGGTCAGTCCGCCCCTGGGCGTGAACCTAGGGTAAGGAGTAGACTCAGCTTTTTTGAAGCATGTGTACAAACAGTGGCATCACCGACGAGGGTAAATGACCCTGCAGATAGTTTTCATCTCTAACAAGCATAAGTAGGACACTTGCAGGATCAACTTATTCTAGAAAATTCATACACCATTGTAGAAATGTGTTGTAGAGACTATGGGGCTGATTTACTAAAACTGGAACGTGCACAATCTGGTGCAGCTGTGCATGGTAGCCAGTCAGCTTCTTTTTTTTGTGCGTGTGTGTGTGTGTGTGGGGGGGGGGTGTTAACTGATACTTTAAATATATTTTCATGTCACTATGCATTTTAGCATGTGTTAATTATCATTTTTTTTATTATATTGGAGTAGCAGTGAAATGTCTTTAAACTGTATACATAAAAGACATTTTAAAGCGTAGGAAATAAATGCTGCAGGTATTTTCAATTGAAAGTGATATTTAGTGTCAGAGTCTCTTGTATTAGTACATGTCTCTGCATGTGTTTCTGATTCCACCTAACAACCAGTTTACATGGTATCACATTTTGTTTACTGGGAAGATGTATGTGCGTGCATACATACATGAGCCTCATGACACTCTTTTTCTAATATTAGATAGTCAACAAACTTTTTATGGTCTGTCACAAAATCTGTAAACAGGGAGTGGCTTCAGTTTCATTTCTCTGACTCATGCTGCTGCCATCATGGGGAGAGATAAGGGAGTAATGACACAAGAATATATAAAAGCAGAATAACTGGAGCAAGTGATTATATATATTATACTGACATTTATACTGGCAGGTATATGTAAAAGCATGCATATTTATACATGTCACTCTTTTTTTCTAAATGAAATTGGCATTACACTCACAAACAATTTCTATATGGCAGCTTACCAATCCTTAAATGTGGTGGCTGCATTAGTTAAGTTAGTTAAGTTAGTTTTCTTTTTTGGTCTTTTTTTCTTTTATTTTCACCTGGTGATCCGGCCAGTGACAACACTTCCTGTTTTACGATGTCTCTACTTTTCGGAGAAGCAAGGCCAAATGCGGCCCTTTGCTTGCCCTTATCCAGCCCCTGGGGCATTATTCACCCCACTGATATGACACATCTTCCACTGACACCAACAATTCCTGTCACTGACAACAAAAATGGGGCATTATTCCTCCCCCCATACCAAAGGTGGGGTACTGTTTACTCCCACTGATTCAGGGATTTTTCTACTCCCACTGGCCACAGTCCAGCCCCCTAAAATCTGAAGGACAGACAACTGGCACTTTGTTTAGAAAGTGTGAGACTCTTGGACAGGGGCGGACTGACCATTTGAGCACTCGAGCAGTGACCCGAGGGCCCAGGGTCAGTAGGGAGCCCCATGAAATGCCCCTAGTACCTTTTATAGGCTTTTTGGGGTGTGCTTTGAGTGTGGGCAAGGACACAGGGGCCCCATGATCCCCTATTGCCCGTCGGCCCCATGACTTGTCAGTCCACCCCTGCTCTTGGACTAGCAGATTTAATTGGACTTGACTAACACATTAAACCAAGTTCCAGCTAGCACTATTTAAAGTAATATTAAACCCAATACCAAAAATGTTATATATTGTAGCTTACCAATCATTAGTGTTGGCTGCATTCGTTTTCTTATTACAGTCATTATTCCCCTCTGTTTTCACCTGTGATCTGGCCCGTACCACATATTCTGTATTAAAGTGCACCCACTCTGAATTAAGAAGCAACAGAGACACCTCTGAACAGCATCATTGTCAGTCTGGGGAGAGGAAAGTTTTAGGCTCCATATACACGGGACCAGGGGCGGACTGACCATTTGGAAACTCAGGCACTGCCCAAGGGCCCGGGGTCAGTAGGGGGCCCCATGAGATGCCCCTGGTTTCTTTTTCATAGGCTTTTTTGAGTTTGGGCAAAGACACAGGGGCTCCATGATCTTCTATTGCCCAGGGGCCCCATGAGTTGTCAGTCCGCCCCTGCACGGGACACTCCTGAACGATGGAAACTGACTGCGGGAAAACGTAGATTAAAAAATGTCTGTTCAGCCGCGATTGCATACCACGTTTATGCGCGTTTAAAAGCGTTTTTTTTTTAAAGATAACCTCAGGAGACCTTCCAAAATGACTAGAATGCACTGAAAAACAGTAAAAAATTAACTATTTCAGACACTTTGAGAGAACTAGAGAGAGCAGAAGCAGAGAGAGCAGTATGTGTTGAGATTAGCTGTCTTTTTTTTTTTTTTTGTGGTGTTTGGATGTGTTCCAGCTCATTTCTGTGCAGAAAGTATTGCAGCAGTGTCTAACATATTTTCTTTCATGCAAAACCTCAAAGTATGGTATGCCAGGTCCATTTGAGCTCTGGGAAAATGCTTTGCATGCATTTTTCATGATGAAAAAAGGCTCTGGACAGCATCTGGAAATAGAAGAGTTAAAAAATTTTTCCAAACGCAAACGCTTATAAACGCAGTTAGCCGCTTTCACAAGCATTTGGCGTTTGAAACGCTGATAAAAATCTACTCCTGTACGCAAGTTTGGTGCGTTCAAAAAAACAACTGTAAACTCAACTGCCTTTAAACGACTGTAAACGAAGATGTGTACATGGACACATAGGAAAACATTAGGGAGTGTTCAGGGGCTGCTGAAAAAAACGCAGAAAAGCTCCTAAACGTGAGTTTGTCAGCTGCAGTGTACATGGAGCCTTAGATGTACTTGCAGATTTATTTATTTTTTTTTTTTTTTTTAATTTAAATATTTATTAGTTTTTCATAGTATTACAAAATTTCCATAAGAAGAGGACCAAACGTACAAATAATCAAAACATTTCTACTTTGCCCCCTTCTAATTACCTCTTTTCTTTCCCTCCCCTCCCAACCCACCTCTACCCCCCACCCCCTCCCTCCCCTCTGCAAGATCACCAATCTCTCAAGACCCACTAACTTTAATTAATTTCCTAGTTTAAAATTTTCTATATTTCTCTTTCATTCCTGATTTTTCCCATTTTTCCCATCGCGAATAGTATATTTCCAACCTATCTTCCTGCATATAGTATGATTTTTTTCCATTCTGCTAATCTGGTTTACCCTATTAATCCTAATCCTCCTCCATCGGCACCTCTGTCTTCCGCCAAAACTTAGGTATCAACCCTTTTGCAGCACTTAGGTAATACCATACTCCTGATTCTTTATATTTCTTTACTGTTGTCTCAACATTATGCAGGAGGCACATGGTTGGGTCTAACCCTATGTCATTTCCAGTTATTATTTCTATTAATTTAACTATTGTCTTCCAGAAAACCTGAATTTTTGGACATTGGCCACCATATGTGGAACACCGTGCCCTCCTCCCCACATCCTCTCCAACACATTTTTGAATTCTCCCCACTCATCTTGTGCTCAGTGCTCGGTGTAATATGCCATCGTGTCAGACATTTATAGTTGATCTCGACGTCTCTCATACTAACACTCTCGTGTACCAATCTAAATATCTTATTCTGTTGATCTTCATCTATCACCACCTCCATATCTCTTTCCCAATTTGTTATAAAAAATTAACTTTGTGTCCGTGTCTAATTCTGTGAGGATCCTATAAATTTTTGTAAACCCGTGTTTCCCATCCCTACGTGTTTTCTAATAGCCTTTCAAACAAATTCCACTCCTTTTTTAATCTCAAAGGTTTTGGGAGATTTCCAATGAAACATTTTAATTGGTGATATTTCCACTCATCTATTCTATTAAACATATCCCCCCCCTCTCTTTTAATTCTTTAAATGTTCTCAATTCCCCCTCTACCAATACATCTCTCAATTGGATATCTTCTTTTTTAAACCATCTCCCTGATATCTCTTCCTTTCCTGGAGGAAAAAACTCTGTGTTTGCAAGTGGCATTAATATAGAGTTGAATTCCCATTTCATGTGTTTATGTAAATTATCCCATGTCCTTAAAACATTTAAAGTGAAAGTGCTTGTGTTTTCTTTAATTCTTCTATATTGTGCTGGGACCCATATCATCTTACTCAAACTAATTCCACTCAGTTCGTTTTTCTATTTTTACCCAACTTTTTCCCTTATGGTTAAATGTCCAGTCATTATATTCTTGCTAAAATTACTGCTTTATAATATCTCTTGACGTCAGGTAGTCCCATTCCCCCTTTCTCTTTAGTCCTGCTCAATGTTTCGTATGATATTCTTGGTTTTTTTATTCCTCCATATATATCTTGTTAACATTCTTCTCATTATCTTAAAAAACGCCTCTGGGATGTTTAAATTGGGACCATTTGAAATCTATAGAGTATTTTAGGTATAATTACCATTTTAACTAGGTTTATACGTCCTAACCATGATGGATTTCCCCCCTTCTAATCTTTTTAACTCATCTTTAGTCTCGTTTATCAAAGAAATATAGTTTATAATCTATACAGTTGTTTATAAGAAGTAGCCAGTTTTATTCCTAGGTATTTTATATCTTTTTCTCTCCATATAAAGGGGAATTCTTTTTGTAACTTTCTTTTTTTTCGCTCTTTGGTATATTGATGTTCAGGATCTCTGTTTTTGTTGGGTTAATTTTTAGATTTGATAGTTCACCATACTCCTTCAGGGTCTTCATTATACTTGGTAATGTTATTCGGGGGGGTTGCCTACATAGAACAATAGGTCGTCCCGCAAAGGCCGCTACCTTATGTTCTATATTTTCTATCTGGATTCCCTTTACCGCTCCACTATTCCTTATTATTGACAACAAGGGTTCCAGTGTCAAAACGTACAACAAGGGGGACAATGGGCAGCCCTGTCTTGTTCCGTTGGACATCTCAATGTATTCCGACCTCTCCCCATTTACTGTAATGATTGCAGTGGGCTCCCTATATAAAATACCTATCCACTCCCGCATTCTCTCTCCGATCCCCCAGCACTTCCAAGTTGTCCATCATAAAGCCCCAGTCCACTCTATCAAACGCCTTTTTCGGCATCAATTGACAGGAGCACCACCGGGGCTTTTCCTTTTCTACTTTTCTGCATAAGCATTAAAGTTCTCAACCCGTTGTCTCTGCCCTCTCTCCCTGGGACAAAGCCCACCTGATCTCCATGGATCCATTCAGGCATTAGTTCTTTCAGCCTGTTTGCTAGAACCTTTGCGTACAACTTGGTATCAGTGTTCAATAATGAAATTGGTCTATAGCTAGAGCACTGAGAAGGATCTTTTCCCTCCTTATGATTGAGAACTACATGGGCCTGAAGGGATTCCCTCCTCCCTCCATCCCACCTCCCAAGTCCGTTCATATACTTCTTCAGCTTCGGTAGCAGTGATTCACTAAATTTTTTATAGTACTTAACTGTATAACCATCCGGGCCAGGGCTTTTTCCCCCCCTGTACTTCTTAATGCTGCTTCTATTTCTTCCTGGGAAAATTTCCACGTCCAAGGAGTTCAATTGTGTTTCACTGAGTTTAGGTAATCCCACCCATCCCGCATTTTTTAAAATATTCATCATCCTTTTTTTCGTTAATACCTTCTCTAGTTTCTTTTGGAGTACCTTGATGGCCAATAATTATATAACTTTCTATAATACTCCGTGAATACTTTAATAATTTCTTTAGTTGAATGAACCAGCTCCCCCTAGGACTTTTTATCTTTTTCTATATAATTCCTGTTTTTCTTTTTATTCAGGGCTCTCATTAAGTATTTTCCTGGTCTATCTCCCATCTATATCTTTCACTTAATACTTTGTTATATACTCTTCTCCTCTCCTCTCCATCAGTCTCTCTAGTTCGTCTTTTTTATCCTTTAACTTCTGTCTTGTTTTCTATTGTTATTTTCTTCTTATGTATCTGCTCCAAGTCCAGGATTTCCTTTAGGGAGTCCGCTAACCCTCTCTCTTCTTTCTTTTTTCTTCCTTGCTCCCATCGCAATCAAGATTCCTCTTATATATACCTTATGGCTTTCCCATACTGTAGCTGTCGATACTTCCTCTGTCTCATTCTCCTTGAAATATACTTTGATCTCTTCCCTGATCTTCTGTACAATATCCTCATCCAAGAGAAGAGCCTCATTCAACCTCCATCCCAAGCCTCCCGTTCCACCTTCTTCCCCATCCTATTTTCATTATGACAGGGGCATGATCCGAGAAAGTTCTTGTCTCTATTTTATTTTAACCAACAGTTCAATGAATTGATGATCTATCAAAAAGTAATCCAGTCTCGAGTATATCTCATGTGCATTAGAGAAGAAGGTATAGTCTCTGTCTTTCATATGCATTATTCTCCATGAGTCCACCAGTTGGTACTCGTGGATCACCTTCTTCAAAGCTCTCAGAGACCTACCCCCCTCTCTCTGCACAAGGGAGGTTGTATCCTTTTGTGGGTCCATACAAAGATTTAAATCTCCTGCTATAATTAAACGCCCTTTTTTAAAATCATTCAATTTTTTCAACAGACCCTTCAAAAAGATCTCCGGTTTTTTGTTGGGACAATAAATATTGGCTAGTGTACACTCAATTCCCTGTAGTTTACCTTTCAAAAATAGGAATCTGCCCTCCGGATCAGTCTTTCTCTCTTCCAGCTCAAATCTCATATTCTTTGCCAAACCTATTGCACCCCCTTTGCTCTTTTAATTGGAGAGTCAGCGAAATACCATGTTGGATAATATTTAGATTTTAGTTTCACGTTTGACTCTATCTCAAAGTGTGTCTCCTGTAAAAATACCACTGACGTTGCCCTGTGATGTAACTCTTTAAACAACTTAAATCTTTTCCCAGGACAATTCAACCCATTCACATTATATGTTATAAACTGTATTTCTTCCATCCTTCATAAGTCTGTCTATCTTTCTTCTAATTCGTCTCTTCCTATTAGGCCCAGCTGTCTTGCAGAGTATTAACCCCCCAACCCCTATCCCCCACCCCCTCCCCCACCCCCTCTCTCTCTTATTTTCCCCCCTACCCATTTTTAGGCTTATAAAACTGCCTACAAATCATTTGTGGAACTGTTTCCACGGTTGATTT